AAAAAAGGGTTATCCTTGATCTCGCTGACAATGCGATCAAAACTTTGCTTATTCATTCGTGTTCTCTGATGAAACCAGGAAGGGGGGTAAGACTCCAAAAATATATCGCCGTTGAATTGCGTACTGCCGGGAATTCGTTCTCTGTTTGATAAGTATCGCCTAGATTGAATCAGCAAAAGTAAATCAGACATGTCATCCACCTGTGAGAAGAGAAGTTCGGCTTCGCTGTCCCTCTCGTCATCTCCAACAGTTCCAAGTAACTCGTTATCTTCCTCCTTCAAGATTCCGACAGCTAGCATGTCGGTGATGCCCGATGAAGGCGTTGCCGCTCGCTTAGCCTTGGCATGACTGTTCTGGGAGGGAATCGGAAAGGGGCATCCCACAATCTCTCAGTAAAGTGCGAATACGAGCGCAATGCTCATTTTGCTGACACCCACTTCATTCCAGTTTTGCTTAGATTTTGGGAATAACGCTACTTAGATTTTGGTAAGTGCTCTGCTCAGTTTTTGGGGGGCCTTTTTCATGTTCGACTCCCCCTATTAAAGGTATAGTTAGGAAATGTCTTTAGTATAAGTAAGTATAAATGAATGTATCCATATTTCCATAGACAGTCAAAGCATTGTAACTAATATCAATTGTCAACACTTGTCGGAACTGCTTCGCATGTAGAATTCATTCTCGGGAGAAATCGGTTAATGATTGACGATGTTCACCCCGTTCCCTGCCGATGATTGAAAAATCAGACTCTAACGAGGCAGTGTTGGGGAAAGATGTAGCAAGGGCCCCACAAAGCTCAGTAGCATCTGAAATCACCCGCTCTTAAGCTTCCATCCTTCTTCCAAAGTTGTTTTTCTGTTGCTGCATTTGGACAGAACCTTCGCAAGTCTTCAATGACTCTCTTTCTATCGTAAATGTGGTGGTCGCTTTCAATCTGTGTAATTTGTGCAGTGCTTCACTCTGCTGCTTTCAGTCTAGATCCATCATTTTTAATGAGTCTGCATATATTTGCTGTCCGTATTGTTGCAAACCCCCGGTGATATCGTCAACGATAGATCTCTTTTATCTTAAACTGGAATGGCTCATCGAGATCGTCAACGATAGATCTTGATCTCAAACCGAAACGGCTCATCGAGGTCTAGGTGAGCTCGTATTGTGTTAGCGTGGTCGAAAAATGTTCATCGGAATCTTCAGAATATTGTTACCAACGTGTCGGGTTTCATGATGACGACTATAGTTGTTTGAGCGGGAAGCAGGCTTGAAGTACTGCACGCTCGTGGTTTTTCCGCTTGTATCTAGGTTTGGCTTCACGGCTAAATTTGATGCAAAACTTGCATGGGATGGCAAGTGCTGCAGACGATTCAGGGTACCGTTCAGATGTTTCTAAACCATACTTGAAATCGTGTCGTCTCTGGAATGGTGTCGTCAACGCCCGCGGCATGTCGCTACTTAAACACGTGTAGCTAGAAGTTTTCCATCGGCGATCGTT